CGCCTCGCTGGGCGGCAGCGCGAGATGCCGTTCTCGTCCGAGTACGTCCATCGCGAAGGCGAGCCAGCACCGCACTCCGCACTTTCAATGGGTGCATGGCATAGTGCTGCCCAGGACTTCTAATCGGGCCCGTTCCGCCCATTCGCGCCGGTCCCCCTGCGAGGGCATGGGGCACCTAAGCCTCTGCGCGTTGCGACGCGGCCCCCCTGGCACGGGTGGCGAGGGCGGTCCTGGCCGCGCCGGCGCCGTCTCGAGTGCAAGCGCTGGAGCTGGCAAGCGCCCTGGAGATCGGCACCGCGCTTCCCCGCAGCGCGCAGAAGAGGGACCCGCGGCGCACAGGCGATCGAGCTCCGCCAGGAGGGGCGCTGGCAGGAGCTGCAGGTCCGCGACGTCCCGCAGCTGACCCCTTACGAGATCCCGGTGGGTCTCGAACCCTTGCTCCGCCAGCGCATTGGCCGCGCGCGCGATATCGGGAACAGCGCCTGCGCGCCGCTGGGCGCGCGCGCACGCGGCGGGCGCGCCAGCCGAGCAACCTTTTATTCCTCACTGGCGTAAGTCGCGGGTGTGGCGAACCGATGCTACATTCCCTGCGCGGCGAAGGCGCCGACCCGCGCCCGCGCGCGCCGCGCGCCAAGAAAAACGCCACGCGCCGCTTACTATGCTAGTCTCCGCGTCGCGCCCAGGGGGCGGCCTTGGGGGCGGTCGAGCCAGCGCGGCCATCCGCGCGAGTCGACGGCACTCTGCGCTGGCGTCCGCCCAATCGCTCCAGCCGGCGGCTTCGCCGCCACAGCCCTGCAGATGCATGAGAGAGCAGCAGCCATGCCGAACGCATGACGCCGCGGCTTCGGCCGCCGTCGCATCGCTGAAACGCCCTGGGAAGATGCGGCAAAAGTCGCTTGCGAGCTGCATCTTGCGCAATGCCGGCTGACGTGGCGGCCGGTTACACTGGCGCGCGCGCGCGTGTCCCGCGGCGCGCGCACGCCTAGGCGGTCGCACTATCATGCAGCGCGCGCGGACGGCGGCCCACAGCGGAAGGCCTCCGCGAGTTGTGCGCGGACCGTCTTCCCCCCCAGCCGCGAGAGCAATTTCCGCTCGTCGCGGTTGGGTGGGAAGGTCGGCAAGGTTCCTTGCCGACTCCACGCGCTCGTCGATCCACGCGTGAACCTGCCGCGGCGGCGCGGCTGCGCGCGCGCGTCTGGCGGCGCGCGATTGCAGCGTTGCCGGGGGCGCCACTACCGCCGACCAGAATTGGTGTGCGAGAGCCGTGGTCGCACGACTTTGCGGCGCCCTTTCTGAAAGTGCATTATGCGACGCTGTTGTCTGAGAAGGGGACCACGCAGCGGCCGGCGAGCACGCGTGCCCACGTGGACAGCGCCACGCACTGCGCCAGCATCTCGAGCGCCGCTATCTGCTGACCACTGCGGGCGCTCAATCCGCAGCATCAAGCGCATTACGCCCAACGCGCGCGCGCGCGCGCCGCGGACCGTCGCGCGGAGACCTGAGAAATTCTTCTGGCGGGGCCATTTCGGCCCACTCGAACGCGTCTTCTGCCGCGGGCGTCCGCCAGCGCGAGCGCCGGCGGGCGCGCGTCTCGGCATCGCCAGGGCCGCGCGCGGGCGATGTCGCGCGCCGGCGCGTCTCGCCACCAGCGCAGCGCATCGCTCGCGTGTTCCGCGAGGCGGGGCAAGGAACCGTATGCCTGGTCGCAGAGCGGTCGCGCCATCGATCGCCCCGCGCGTTCGAATGCGTGGCAGCATGCCCACGACAGGCGACCCGCCATCTTCGACGCCTCGCCGGCCGTGAGCGCGCCTGACCGCAAGGCGCCGTCGATGATGGCAATCCACTGCTTTGCATCATCGTCGTCGGGTTTGACGTGGGAGCCTGATGCCGACGACCAGACGCGCAGCCCCAGGATCACGATCGACCGGCCCCACGCCATCGCGCGCTCCTGCATGGCGCTGGGCCCGAGGAGAGCGCGCACCAGCCTCGCGAAGCACTTGTCGGCGTGCTCCGCGAGACCCTTCCTCTCAACCGAGAAGAAGTCGTCAACGTAGCGCAGCGCCGGGAGCCACATCAGCTTGCGCGCCGCGGCCGCCAGGGAAGCGCCCGCGCGCCCCCAGCCGTGCACGCAGGCCAGGCCCCCGAATGGCAGCGTGACGTGCTGGGCGGCCATGACGCGCCCGCGCAGGCGGTACGTCACCCAGGCGACAGCGCGATGCCCAGGCTGGATCGGCACCCGCCTGAAGGCCGAGCCCACGCCCGCCTTCCGAAATTCGAACTCAACCGAAATCTGCGCGCGCACACGGGAGTGACGCGCCGCTGCGGGCTGG